GAAGCATTGCTGTCACTAAACACATTCAAGCCACCGACAACTGCTGTGAACAGAAAGACGGAGTGAAGGGGCAACCCTATTTTATCTTCAAATATTTTCTCCCTGGAGTACAAAAGAGGTTGGAGAGTCATCAGGGATGTACTTTGAAATGTAGGGATGGATTCTACCTGACACAGATATCAAGATCCACTTTAAAGCAAATGCATTGCATATTTGCAATGTTTGGGAGAACGAGTTGAATAATCAACTGTCCCATTTTTTTCTAGGATTGAGGGATTCCCTAGGATATGAGTCCATGAAAAAAGCCAGTAAAATCTCAGACACAATCAATGTATGGGTGGGTGATTGTCTCGTAACCCAGTTATGAGAGAACTAATCAGGGGTTAGATGTTGCTAATTGAGATCTATGACCCTAAGTCAGAAGAGCACACCTCTCTTGTGTTGTTTGATGGTTTTAGAAACAAAAAAGACAAGGTGGAGGTCGTAAGTTTCTGTTCCATTAAGTAGATGTCTCCTGGCAGATGCCCTCCTTTCACTGGCAGACCTCGAAATCTGCAAATATCAGAGGCAATGTGTGTGCGTGTGTGCGCACGCGCGTGAGCGCATGTATGTGTGCGCGAGTGTGTGGGCGCGCTTTCTTTTCTGTCTCTGCTCCTGTAGTGCACTTGCATGCAGGTCTATGCTCTTGCACACTTTATCTACAATTGGTAGCTCTTTGGAGCTTATCTTGCTCCTTGTAGAGCAAAATTCCAGTGCAGCAAGCCACCATCTCTCCTGCTCATCACCAGAAATGGGTCTTTAACAGCCATTTCCCATCACTCCAACACGTTAGCTACTTCTGGTAAATACATCAGGCCTTAGCTGTAGCATGAGTCTTTCTGCTGGGAAGTGGGTTCCCATCGCAGAAGCTATGCTGTCTTGTAATTCAGAAAAGTCACGTGACTGAAGTCAAAGCAAGAGAACCTTTTCAAGAAACAAATCAGTGGTGTCACATGATGACCGAAAGGTTCTACCAAATGAACTCTAAGATGCTTTGTGGCTGTGAATGTCCTTTTGCTAAGGAGTGCTGCAGAATCCCGCTGTGGGTATAGAAGCAAATTGCCTTAGGACCCATATCAAATGGGCAGTGAGAACACACTGTCTAGTGGGTGTTTAGTTTCAGACCCAAGGAAAGGAGACTAGGTGCGTATTTTACATATCAAAGCCGACGGGACCTCCAGGTTCTCCCTGCATCCCTCACTCCCTACCTGGCAAACCTTGCCCTCAACCGGGAACTTTCTCTCTCTCTCTCTCTCTCTCTCTCTCTCTCTCTCTCTCTCTCTCCCTCTTTCCCTCTCTCCCTCCCTCCCTCCCTTCCTCCCTCCCTCCCTCCTTCCCTCCCTCCCTGTCCCTCCCTCCTTCTCTCTCCTCCTCTCTCTTCTTATCTGCATGCACTCCTTTTCTATCTCTCTTTCCTCTCTTCCACCCATCCTCATGGCGACTTCCCTGGCCTCAATCCTTGGGGACAGTGGACTCATCAGAGAGCAGCTACTCAATAAACCTGCCTTTAATATAATGGAATCTGGCTTGAATTGGCTCATTTCACTGGTGGAGAACTAACCTCTCAGTGGGTACTTCTCATGTAACTGAGAGCCAGAGAGAGCTTAGAGAGGGAGAATGAGAGTGGAGAGCTAGTGGCAGGAGTGTGTGAGCACGTGAGCACAGAGAGCATGAACATAGGAAGAAGAGAGCCGGGAGAGTCTGACTGATGGACTGATGGAGAGACTGATGGAATGAAGGCCCCTCAGGATGCCAGAGGGCTGACAGCCGGAGCTCTGTGTCATGGGGCTTGTCATCCAGAAAAATAATTTTGTAGCCTTCACAGAATAGCAACTTGGAATAAAGCTTGGACTTTGCTCATTTTTTTTTTTTAAAGTGTGACATTCCCCAAACAATATATAGAAGTTCCAAAAGGTAGCTTTTAAAACTGTTGAACCATCGAACCATGGTGGCCCATGGATGGTCCACTCAACAGTGGCATCTTGGAAAGGGAAGCTACTTGAAAGAACAGGGGTCCAGTTGAGTTGTTTTCCTATCTAGCCTCAGCGTGTCTCAGCAGTGGTGTAGAATTTTCTTATGGTTTTTTTTTTTTTTTTTGAGACAAGGTTCCTTTGCTTAGTCTTGGCTGTCCTGGAACTTGATCTGTAGACCAGGCTAGCCTCAGACTCACAAGATCCACATGCCTCTGCCTCCCTGGGATTAAGGGCTTGTTCCACCGCAGCTCCAGGAGTGGGATTTCTTAAGAGACAACTTAGAGCTCTAAGATCAGTGGCTCCACGAGACAGTGGGTGGAACTATGTGGGCCCAAAACTTGGCATGTTAATTCTGTTACACTCGAGAGCCCTCCCCGATTCAAGAATAGAGACCTAGGAGTGGCAAATGACTGTGACCCTCGTTGTTATACAAGCCTTTGCATTCCACATTCTTGAAAAGATTACCTAAGAAAGGGCACAGCAAAGCCCCCATCTGTGCACCAGCTCCTTAGTTTAAGAGCTGGTTACTTGCAGATCTGTAGCTGAAGTTTCTGAGAACCCTCTTGCTCCTTTATTCAGATGAAGACAGGCCTGACATCCTCCCTTCCAGTTCTGTGAGCTGCTTTACTTCTATGCCTATCTCTGCCTTCCCTGAGCTGACTGAGTCAGATACAATCTCTTACTCATATGTTACTCCGATCTCTATAGAACTTGCCAATTCTGGGAAGCCTATATTGTCAAAACAGGAATAGGCAGGCTTCTCTTCATCTATCAATATATTGCATGTCTTTAAATCTTTTCCAAAATCCATTAAGAAGGAAATTGCTACATGCTAAAAGCAGTAAATTGTGCTTTTGTCAAATGTGGGGGGAGGAAAGAAATAGTCTTTAGGTAGCTACATTGTACCTTATGGTTTTCAATTAGGTTTAATTTTTTTGTTTTGTTTTGTTTTTTTCAAGACCAAACCACCGCCTGGCAGGTTTAATTTTTGATTGTTTTAAGAGATAACTCAGCGGGGCAGTGGTGGTGCACACCTTTAATCTCAGCACTTGGGAGGCAGAGAGGCAGGTGGATTTCTGAGTTTGAGGCCAGCCTGGTCTACAGAGTGAGTTCCAGGACAGCCAGGGCTACACAGAGAAACCCTGTCTCGAAAAACAAAAAACAAAAAACAAAAAACAAAAACAACAAAAAAGAGATAACTCAGTTGCTGAGTGGTAATCCCTTTTACCAAGTTAGTTGTGGGTTTCAGAGACTCATATCGGTGGGTAGTGAGCAGCAGTCACAGTTAATTATAACTTAGGTTAATTATATGTGTTATCTATAGTTAATTATGTTACATTTTACTATGCTTCAAAACTTAGAGGGTTGGTCTGAAATCCCAATAGGGCTTGCCATGTGTAACATACCTAGTAAAACCTTTTTGTTTTGATGTAAGCAATTAGAGAGGTTATAAGGGATGAAGCATCCAGCTGCTCCCCTTTGAAAAGTCAAAGTTTATCCAGAATAGAAGTGGCTGGTGCATTTATACTTCTGTATCGACTGTAAGTAGTAAGACACTTGGAGAACTGTTTCCCTAAAGACCATGTTACTGTCTAACAAAGGAACCTAAGTATCATTTGTGTGTAAATGATGGTGTCCTTTAGTTCCTAAAGTCAGATAGGATAAAAAAGGAATTCTAACTGGAAACTTTTTTTGTGGGGGGAAGGGATGCAATTACAGAGTTGTTTGTAAGCTATTCAAGAAACTTTAAATTTCATTACAGAAATGATACAGTTCCACTTTGTAGTAAGCCACTAATGGCCTTCACTTCCCAACAAAGCTAAATCTTCTGGCACTCACAGGCTCAGGAGACAGCAGTTTAGAAATAGTGTTTTGCTGGCTTGGAACTGGTAAGTGCTGAGTAATAGTTCTGAGAAAGGAAAAGAGCGAGCTCCTAGGGTTAAAATCTGATAGAATGTCGCCGCCATAGAGAAAGGTAGTGATTGGACACTGGTGGAATTCTCAACATCTCATCAGGCTGCTGCTACACTTCAGTTTTCATTTTTGCTTTGGAAGAGCTCTGGAAGGCTTGGGCAGAAATCATTCGAACACAGACAGATGCGCAGGGTTCTTGTAACTAGCCTATAATGAGGATATTCTCTGTTAATGTTGAGACTTATCTGATGCTCAAATCCTTAAGGATTGCCCCTGGGTAATGGTGAGTCTGATTCTATATCTCTACCCTACACTCCAGAAGCGTGCCAATCATTTGGTAACTTTTGAGGAGAGCTTAGAGTATGTTGTAGACTTGTTCTGGGCAGTGACTGGCGTTGTTTGAGAGAGGTTTTTTTGTTTTTGTTTTTGTTTTTTTGTTTTTTTTTTTTAACACACGAAAAAGCAACACTGGAGGAAAAACTTCCACCCTCGCACAAAGAGACACAGGGATTCTGGTCAATCCCTCTTAGCGCTGCAGTTTCTAGTTATTTACCCTTGCTTAAGGAATGGCCAGCAGCCAGCAAGCACTGCAGCCTCACAATATTTGCACACAATTTATTTAGACCAGTCTCTAATAATCCTCTCCGTTTGTAGCTAGAATTGCTCCAAAGAGAATGAAGAGAAAGGAAGCGTTCCTTTTGCGTATTTCGTAGGAAAAATTCCAGCCGTGTGTGTGTGTGTGTGTGTGTGTGTGTGTGTGTGTGTGGTGTGTCCGTCCGGCGTCGGGGGCCAAGTGGTACTTTTGTGCGAGGGTCACGTGAGACCAAGGCAGATTGAGGGAGGCAGAGTCGGGTTGAGTGGATGAAGGGATTCCGCAGGGACTTCCAGGCTGAGGGGTGACGTCTCTACAGGATACCGTGGGGCATCTCGAGGCCGCCGGCTGCGTGGACCTGTCCCTTTAAGGGGCTGGTCTCCAGGCCCTTCTGGCCGCGACGCCCGGACGTGCGGAGCCGCCCCGCCCCGAAGCCGCCCGTTTCCTGCGGGGCGGCGCGACAGCACCTGAGCTTCTGCGGCGGGGCCTGGGAGCGCGCTGACCCGGAGGTAGAGCTCGTGCCGCCGCGTCGTCCCGGCCTGGTTCCCGGCTGCTCAGGGTGAGGAGCAGGGCCTGGGATTCCGGTGCGCTAGGGCGCGGGTCAGGGGGCGCGCTCGCGGGGTAGGCCTCGGCACGGGGGTCGCAGTGTGCAGCGTCCGCCCAGGCCGCGCCGCCGCTGCCCGCTCTGGGGATCCTCCTTCGTTCCAGGGCTCCAGGGTTCCGGCTCGGCGATTTCCTCGCTCCCGCCAGGTCCGACCCTGGCTCCGCGAGTGGCCGGAGCTCCCGGGCTGTCTCCTTTGAGGGCGAGGTCGGCCCGCCCGGGCCGCGGGGTGACCGAGGAGCCTATTTTTAGCTGGGCTCGCAGGCCCCGGGGCGGGCGGGCGGATTAAGGCTCTGATGAGGGTGACCGGAGGGAGCGCCTTGCATTGGGCGCCCTGGGCCCTAGCCGGGCCAAGCGTGCGCCATGCTGGAGCAGCTCGCCCGGCTTGTCCCGGGGCGCGGCCCCTCCCACCACCCGGTTCTGGGAGTTCAGGGAAATCCTGGGAAGTTCTCCCTCTCTCCCAGGGGTGTGTCCGCCTCGGTGCCCAACAATGGAATTTGGGGTGTCCCGGATCTGGCCGCGTTCGGCGTAAGGAAGCACAGTCTGGCTATCCGAGACCAGGGCATGGGGAGCTGCGTCCTCTTTGTCCGGCTGCATCTCGGTTTAGGTTTAAAAGTGCGCTGTTTAGTGTCTTCGGGTCCTTCTGGGAGGAGGCGGAAACCGGGATTTTAACAGCCTGGCCTCTCCTAGACATGGATTTCTTAGCAGCTATGTGAATGAGCATAGCTTTAAAAGCTGCGGGCGAGCAGTTCAAAGTTTTGGAGTCTTTTGAGAAATTTACACCTCCACACTCAGGTAAAGAGGAGCACCCCAGAGGTGAACTAGACATTCGGTTGTATAGCAGGTGACTTAGGGGTGATTTGCCTGAATTTGGCTGCACTTATTTTCTTCGTTCACCGGCAAGCAAGGGCAACAGTGGCTCCAGTGTGGGTAAAAGCATTTGGTGATGAGACCTGAGATAATCTTTGCAGGAGCTGCTCTGGAGCACTCCGGCTGACCTGTATTCTGTATGTCCCGCGGTAGCCTTTCATATCTGGTGTGTTGCTTGATAAATTAGCTTCTTCCCCATTCCACCTTTCTTCTAGAGACCTTACACGAAATAGCTGGGCTTAATTATGTAGGTTCCTTTCCCATGCCAACCCTGAGTTAGAAACGTCTCTCAATTTTGTAGCCCTCGGTAGACATAAATGTCTTAATTATCAGGTGTATTAGAGAATGAGGTGTTCTACATCACTGAGACACACACTCAGATATATCGGGAAAATTCCTCAAGTGTATTAAACACATTAATAGAAAGGATACTCAGTATATAACCCTTTCTTGATTCATTGTCAGCATTATGAAAAACCATTGGTTTGTTTTATTTCATTGGTATATTTCTGTGACCTAAGTATTAGCAATCTCTTTCTCTGATATAGATGCCTCCCACCCCAAACAAACAAGATCTAATAAGCAAAACCAAAATCCACCCAAAACCCTCAACCCCGAGCAGTTTACCGGCTTGCTAGTTTGTAGGTTTAAATCTTCTTTTAGGTTTTAATCTGTTAGTTTTTTTCCAAAGTCAGAACAAGTAAAAGCTTATTCTGATGCTTAACTTCTAAAGTACCCATGTTTAGATTGACCGTTGGTCAAATTTTAGCTGTAATTTCACTTGAACTCTTTGGAGGAGGTATTGTTTTTCTAGGGAGAGGCACCCTGGGATAAAACTAAGAGTTTTTTTTTGTTTTGTTTTGTTTTTGTTTTTTGTTTTTTTTTGGTTTTTTTTGTTTTGTTTTTCGAGACAGGGTTTCTCTGTGTAGCCCTGGCTGTCCTGGAACTCACTCTGTAGACCAGGCTGGCCTCGAACTCAGAAATCTGCCTGCCTCTGCCTCCCGAGTGCTGGGATCAAAGGCATGCGCCACTACCGCCCGGCTAAACTAAGAATCTTGGGAACGTCATATTTACTTTTGACACCTCTAGCCCGCGAATATGTATTTTTATTTGTATGCCTACTATCCTTTTTTATGGCAAATTTTAATTAAAAAGATTTTCAATACTTCGTAAAAAAAAAAAAATTAGTAAACTCAGTGATTCCAGGAGAGTTTGATTTAGGAATCTGACCTCATGTGTAATAAGGAAAGGCAGGAGGTGGGGGTGGGGGAGGAGCGCTTTGCAGAATGTTCAGGTGTTTGAAAGTAACCTCTTAGGTATGTGGTTTTAAAGTCTTTGAAGGCAAATCCAGAGTATCCCTAGAGACCAGAAGTAACTGTCCAGAAGTCACAGTGACCACTATGTATACATGGACTGCATCCCATATCATTGCTGCTTCAGTCCTAAGGAACACAGTCTGGGCTGTTCTGATGAAAAAGATACAATGTGTATGTAAGTGGCTGGGGAAAATTGGCTTAAGAATATGAACTATATGTTTCCTATAAAATAGAAACTTAGGGGGGAAACTTCAGGTGCCACGAGCCATCTCTAAAGTCTAGAAGAAAAGTAATAAGTTACGAGTGTTTGTCAAGTGGATAAACTGGTGCTGACAGTGTTAAATTGCTCTTAAGCCTTTTCAGTTAAAAAAAAATGCTGTTGGTCATGATGGTGTCTTCAATCACTCCTGGGGCAGAGGTAGGTGGGTCTCTGACAGTAAGACCAAAATAAAAGTAAATGGGTTGTGAGCTTTAGCCTTTAGGCGATCTCCCTTTACCCCTTTAAAAGCAATGGTCCTGTCTCTGCTGTAGAGATTATTTGTAGCTCCATGTCCATTCACTATAGCAGAGAATTGGAATTGACCAAGTTGTCCATCAGTGGATGGGTGCATAATGAAAACTAGTTCTATAAAAGACAGTACTATTCAGTGCTAAAGAAAAATGATGTAGAAACATTTTCGGGAAAATGGACAGCCTTGGAATGTATGCTAGTAAGCAAGGCCCCATGATCTCAGAAAGGAATAAACTGAATGTACTCTCCCAAAAGTGGAGTCTTAACAGTTGTATCTGTGTAGATGTAAAGTAGTGTATACGCAGGTACAGTAGACATGAAGAAGCGAGAACAAGAAAGGCTAAATGGAAGGATGAGGTGCGGGTGTGTGTTAGATGTGAGTTGAGGTTATAAGACATGATTGAGGTTATAAGGCCAATTGCTTTTCTTGTTCTAATTCTGTCATGGATCTTTTGTTTTGTTTTTGATGGTGAATAAGTGCATAAAATATATTTGATTACTGAAAGTGTAAAATTTAATGTGAAACTTCACAACTTCCATTTCAAAATGTCAATACTAACTATAGAAGTTCATCAAGTTATATAGACTTTGGCTCTGATTAATTTTGACATTTGATTTTTTTATGTGAAAAATTTAAAGTTAAAGTTTATAAAATAAATTAATAGACACTTTGGTACTAAAAAGAAAGGGGCTGAATGCATAGTTCTGACCTGTTTCTGCCAGTGCCTCTTGCAGTACACCTGACTCCTATGGGCTTTTAATTGCTTTTATACTTGAAGAGGCAAGACAAACTTTCAATGAAAAAGAGTCATTTTGGTAGACATTCTGATTGGAAATTTAGCATTCCCAGGAAATGTATATGTAACACTCAACTATATAAAAAGTCATATTCTACTACTATGCATGCATATCATTTACCCATCCCCCAACATTGAGGCTTGGCCCTCTGCCCTATATGTAGCCCAGGCTGGTCTGAATTTGCAACCTTCCTCCCATGTCCCTACCAGTATGGGATTATAAATATATGCCATGACAACTGATTTTTCTTTGTCTAACCTATGTGTTTAAGGCATTGTCTGGTTCATAATAGATGCAAAGTAAGAAGTTGTCAAATGAATTAAGCCTGTATCTTGCAGTTCCTTTTCTTTGGTGGATACTGCATACTGGATACGTATAGTTTTTAGTTTGTTCCTTTCCTAGGAACTTTCAGAGAACAGAAAAGAGTTGCAGGGAGCCTCTGGAAACCTTTTGGTAGAGGGTGTAATGTTATACTGTGGTAGAGACTGAGTTACTCACGCTATATAATTAAGACCATTGGTTAATTTAAAAAAGTTACTTAAAACAGGGACTTAAAATGCATATGTACCTTAGTTGGGTATAGTGGCATCTACCTTTAATCCCAGAAACTCAGGGCGTCTGGGTGGAAAGAAGAGGCAGGTAGATCTCTGAGTTCTAGGTTAGCCTGGTCTACATAGTGAGTTCCAGAACAGCCAGAGCTGCATAGTGAGACTCTTTCAAAAAAAGCCAAAACCAGCTAAACCAAGAAAAAACATGCACACTCAATATTTGTATTAAGACATTTAACATTGGGGGCTGGTGAGATGGCTCAGTGGTTAAGAGCACTGACTGCTCTTCCAGAGGTCATGAGTTCAAATCCCAGCAACCACATGGTGGCTCACAACCATCTGTAATGATATCTGATACCCTGTTGTGGGGTGTCTGAAGACAGCTACAGTGTACTTACATATAATAAATAAATTAAAAAAAGATATTAAAAAAAAAAAGACATTTAACATTAATCCATACATGTATCTTTTTATTTAGACTTTTATTTATGTTTTTATTTATCAGTTTTCTTAGAATAGAGGTTTTCTGACTTTCCTTCCATAGATTGTATTCTAAAAGCATTATCTATAACTTCTAATATTGGTTTCTTTAAAGTAGAATGAAAATATTGGTAGTAGAAAACTCAAAATCCTGGAGTTTTCCAATCCTTCAAAGGTCTTGGTTTTATTTTCCTACATTTAGATTTTGGCAGACATTAGTCATATCTTTTTGCAGAAGAGGGAAATGCCAGTGCATTCAGAGTTGGTCAAGGTAGCATCACCATCGTGAGTAAACCTCATAGTAGGCCTGGGGTCTTAGTCTCTATTGCTAAGGAGGAGGAAGGCTGCTTGTCCACATTTCCTTGCTCGCGCGCTTGTGTTCCCTCCCTCCCTCCCTCCCTCCCTCCCTCCCTCCCTCCCTCCTTCCCTCTTTCT